TCTGCTTGTCACAATTGCTCTAAAATCATAGCAGATTAATGCAGTACAGGGAAGAAATGACGTTAGAATGAGTCTCAGCTCCAGTTTTGCGAAGAATTGTGTCGATTTTAATGAGATTATGTACAGCAGCAAAGAAAAACCACACCTGTAAGCATTCAAAGGACTGCAGCATTAGAATGGGTCCCTCTAAGCATAAATGAAGGTACAGACAATACTTAATGAATTTGCAAACCTCTTAAATCAAGCATTTCCCAAATTGATAATTGACAGAAGGAAAAAAAAAGAAATAAATTTCAAAATACTTGGCCAGGCAAATGTTTCCCAATTTATTGGAAAGAATATGGAAATAAAGCATCCACTATATAGTTTGCCTTTATCAGGGCGGGGGCGAAGAACAACCATTTTTCTGCTGAAGTCTATAATGTATTTTAATTTAGAAAAATGACACCTTCAGCCTAGTTGCAAATAAACCATCTTGCAGAACAAACAGTGCCAATACACACTGTCAGCCCAGATAAAGTGCCTGTATTCCTTTCAGGAGCATGAACCTCACCAGTAAAGAACTGCACAGCAAAATGCACTCCTAGCAACATAAAAAGCATTTTCCACACGTTGCTTAAATTAAGAGAAATCTAAGTGACAAAAGGAAATGATAGAAGGAAGATGTCAAACTGCTACCTGCTTGTCTTTAGGAGGATTAGTTTATAAGCACAGCAGATTTACTGGGTTCTCAATACATCCCCAAAACTGGATACTTGCGGAAAAGCAAACAGTCAGCTCCAGAAATGTCACTTTCACAATAGGACCATAACCCAAAAAAGCCCAAACCCAGAGCATAAAAGCCCGTTCTCCCTCTTTTACCCTACAGACAACAATTGCAATAACAGAGATTTAGGAAATCCACCCGTAATGCCAGTCAGAACAGAGATGGCTGACTTAATGGCTTTAGAGTTCAGCTATTCCACAGAGTAGCTAAACACATCTTAGATGGAGAGGTCCCTGAATAAAAGAAGTTAGTGTTTGTGTCTCAGAGGAAACAGAGTCCCTGCTGTCCTGCCAAGTTTCAATCCCAAGTCTCTCAGGAACACATTTCTATGTATTAGGGGACTAAAGATACAAACAAGGACCCCATTCCCGTTGTTCATTTTAAGGCAGTTAAGCACTATGCGATGCGAAATGCTACTATCTTTTGCACAATTCCAGATTGCCTAAATACTTTCAAAAACTTTTGTGCATTTCCCATTTCTAAGGCCAGCCAGCCCTGAAGAATAACATATTATATCTGAAGATATCACCGACTTAAGATAATGGGAGTGCACTGGCCCCATTCCCATTTCCCATTTCGAAGGCCAGCCAGCCCTGAAGAATAACATATTATATCTGAAGATATCACTGACTTAAGATAATGGGAGTTATCCAAGGGGAGAAGAGAGGTAGATGGCAACAGGCAGGTGATAGAATAGGTAGGTGAGGTCTAGGACCAATGAAATATAATAGCATAGGTGAAAGTGAAGAAGTTGACCTTGGTGGAAAAATAGAAATTATCTTTAGACAGTGGAAAGTGCATCACTGGAGAGAGGTACTACTTAGTTTGGCAGTCAATAAAAGTCTGGACTCGGTGTTTAGAAACTCCTAACACAGTCAAGGAAGGTTTATGATGCACATTGGCTTTCAAGGCTGCTCAAAATGCTTCCCAGGACCCTTCAGCTGATCCCTGGGAGTAGCATATCCCTACATTGACTGCAACTATCCTGCAGTGACCACTACTGGAGTTGAAAGCCCTGACTGTGATGTTAAGTGCTAATCCAGTAATAAATAAATAAAATTTTTTAAAAAGCAACTCTGAGGCACGTGCGTCACAAGGAAATGAAATATTGATGACCCAGTTCTATATGTTTAGATCTTGGTGCCTCAAAAGCCTGAGACGTCTTAGAGTCAGGGCATAAAAACATGAGAGGATGCTTAAAAAGTGCAACCAATTAGAGAATAGCCAAGTCCATGATTACAGATGACAGAGAGTCAGGGACTCCGGTTTCTAAAGAGCGAAAAATTTTGCAATAGTCAATACCAGATAGTAATGAAATAACCCTGGAATTCCTAGAACTCAATCAGGATTTCTGGTTGTGAGACAGGAATGAACCAACACCTTTAAAAGGCATGAAAGGATTCCTACTCAGCTGATTTGCAAACGCCTGCAGGAATTCTTCCCTTCTATTGCCTTAGATCTAACAAATCCTCTCTAAGTGGTTTTTTTTATACTGAGGTCTGCAATATGAATTCGTACTTTGCACTTAGTTTCTGGTGATTTTTTGCTTTTCTTGGGAGTACATTCTGACTTTCTTCATCGTCAATATCCAAAGAGCTAGAAACACTGTAACTTGTTTTACTCTCAGTGGACTATAAGGCCATATGAGAGTTTCAATCACAAAGATTTAATGAAGGGCAAGGAGGGATATTTCTTCTTCCTAACAAAACAAGCAAGAAATTGCTCTCTGTGAGATTTTAATCTTCCCAGCTTAGAGCTTCCTCAGACTTCCTGCAGACAACGGAACCAATCAAGAAATGCAAGGAGAAAAGGAAGATGCCTCCAGAACCCAAGGAGACAGTAATTATTAGAAAAATCTCCAGAAGGAAAGAAAGAACAGCAACAATTTTCACTCCTAAAGTGTGAATTTGGTTCATGTATAAGAAACTGTTTTATAGGGTGTAAAGATCAGATTTGTGTTAGAGTGTCATAAAGTGGGAAGGGAAAAGCTTGAGAAAAGGCAGTAGGAGATGAGGAGACACTGATTGAGAACAATAAGGGATTTTCACTATTTTTTTTGTTCGAGTCCTCTCTAATCTTACTAACTTTCAACACCAGTAGGCAATGCTTGAGGCTGAGCTCACCAAAATCATGTGTTCTCATTGCTTCAAGCAAGTTAAACCATAATGACTGGGGACCTGGACTCCTTAGAGCAGCACTGAGGCAGAGCACTGGAAGCGATGGAAAGAGGAAAGAAAAGAATATCTAAATAGGAGAGAGAAAGAAAGAGGAAAGAAAGAATATCTAAATAGGAGAGAGAAAGAAGGAGGCAAAACCCCTGAGAAGCACCTGGAAGCTTTTTCAGCCTCCAACCTGAAGAAGCAGGGCCTAATGCCACATGTCTATTAGCATCACCCACAAACCAGCCCCTCACTGCTGCCACAGCAGTGCCCGTACTTACAGATGCAAGGCGGTGACAGCACACAGCACAGTCCATGGGACCCAGAGGACTTGAGAGAAAAAACAAAATCTTTGAAAAAATAATTACTTTTATATTCATTACAAGCAACTGCATGGTGAATAAGGCTGTAGACAGGTTCTTAGAGGCGAAAAAGGCAACTTGTTACACCATCTCCAAACCAGCAGATTCATTGTTCTTAAAGTATTTGTTTGTCACTTCAAACTTTATTCCCAAACGACTATATTAAAAATAAGATAATTACAAAATATAATATTGCAAGTCAGAAGCTATTTTTCCACAGTTTCCTATCCAAAATAGACTTAAATTAACAGAGGAGAAGTTATTACTAGTACTCAAAGACCATGTAATGCATTTAAAATATGAGGTTACGCGTAGACTTAACTCAGGAAAGCAGTTAAATCCATTCTTGTTTTCAGGAAAAGGGAAAGTTTTCCTGACTCAGGGCCTCTAAAGCAGAGGTATGACATATCATACAAGTACTACTTGGGCATACAGTAAAGATTTGACTGCTTTGTTTCACAAATTCTTGAACTCCACAGCAAGTGTTATTCCAATATGTACTAAAAATAAGCCAATTCAACTGAAAGTGCAATTCTCCTTTAAGAGCCAAGTTTTCTACTTTCATACATCATTCTTGCAGCAAAACTGCCATAAGTTGAAATGGAAACATGACAATAGCACCCCACACTTTTTGGTAATTCAGAAAGTTCACACTAAATATTAGCACTCACCAAAAATGACAATCTGGTTCATTTAGTTATGAAAATATTCTGTTGATTCTGAAATGCTTTAGACATTTCTCACTATGAAATACATAGGCAATGGCAGCAGCTCTGCCATTGTAAAATACCCTCATAAATTTCTACAACCTATGAATTCGGTGCTAATACCACTGATATTTTAACATCAATATTATTTGCTGGCACATGGAACTCATGGACAAAGCATTATAAAACAGACAACTCAATTGCTTTTTGGATTTGATTAGTTTACCAAAAATTCTGAGATTCAAAAGCAGGTCACAGCCCTTCTCAGGACCTTTTTTTCCACCCCCAGGATTTCTTTAAAACTGCATCCAATCAAATTATAAAAAACACATGCAATGAAGCATCTGACAGTTCCCTTGGGAGACTTCTCCATATCCAACAAGTAGTTGTTTTTCCCCAAGCTGAATTTTAATGCAATTTCATCCCATTGGCCTTTCTGACAGAAGCAAGGAGAAAGAGTCCCCAGGGAAGGCAACGGGGGGGGAAAATTAAAAAATCATTAAACTAGACTCAAAAAAGTGTATAAAAGCAATTCAGCGTTGAACTGTGTTGGTGAAAGGGGAACCCTGAAGGTAAGGGTTAACTCAAGTCACAAAAGCAGCTTCCCTACTCTCTTCTCCTTTAGAAGAGTCACAGATGCATGTGGATGTCTCCTAAGAAAAAAAAAAAAAAAAAAAAAAAAGAAAAAAAAACCCTTGAGTTATCATTCCATAACTACACTTTTGGGAAAA